GATGGAATCCAATAATTCTGAATTGGAGGTATGCATTGTCTAACATTAAGCAAACTTGGGCAAATTATGCATTGCTTAAAGAGAAGTAGTTTACACTATCTAAAGAAGACCAAATGCTTCTTTTGGAAAGTCAATGAAAACAGAAATTTCAGAAAGAAAAATAATATTTGCATTACTAATAAGTCTAATAATTCAATAATTAAGAACTTCATACAAAATATGAACAAAAGAATAAATAAATGATTGCATTCATTATGCTGAAGTGGGAGGAAAATTATAGGCCATTATATACTGCAAGAGACATCAATTCTTAGGATTAAAATGTACTTCAGTGAAGAGCTCATGTTTTTGGATAAAAGCAGAGCTCTGAACAAATGCAAAAATCCATTTTTTTCAAAGTTAAAAAAAAAACACTCTCTTTTACTTTTAAATATAACAATACTCATTATATTTAAAGCTGTTTGCCCTGCACAGTGGAATTTACACTATTCAGAACACATAGCCTTGCTGTGATATGTCATCCATTTATTTAATCCAGATTAAGGGAAGCGGTGACAGAGGTGGTCGGGGGGAACCACTGTACTATGGCAAGTGTAATCAGCAGTGACAGAAAACAGAGTTTTGAAAGAGTGATCAAGAGCTGGATTTTCTATATATAAAAGTTAAACTTGCAAGTCTACCAGTATCTCAGGCTTCGTATTAGTTATTTTTATTTTACCTTAACTAACAGAAAACTTTGAACAAAATCCATATAAATTACTTTGGCTCTTGTGAACAATGAATCTGGATATAGCCAGATGTTATAGCCTTCAATTTTGCCTCCAAAGAAGGACACCTCTTGTGAACTTGCCCCAACTCTCAATACAAAAGAATGCTCTTAGTCATGAAAACTACCTTGTTCTCTCTATATACCCAAGACCTTCACTGGTGCTAAATAACAATCACCAGATATTGCTATACAATGATCACTGCAATATCTTTGAGCTCTGAGTCCTGCTGCCAATTGCTCACAAGATGAGCTCCGAGCAGGAACATTTCTTTGATTCTTCAGATGCACAGTGGTACAATGCTTTCCACAGAAGTTTCTTCAGTCAATCTTTGCCTGCCCTGATGATTCAGACTTGTAAAATCTCTGGGCAAGAAAGTAGCCCATTCAATAGTGAGTTGGCTATTGAACACTCATCATGACCAAGACATAGCTTTGGTGCTGTTCTGCAACCGCATACAGTGCCTAATTTGGCTGGGAAAAAAAAAAAAAAAAAAAGAAAGCTAGTCTTTTCCCAGACAGCAGCGCCCATGCTTAGTTCAGGGACAGTACCAGTTCAGCTGGCAGAGTGGCTGGCACTATCCTGCTTGGGCAAGAAGTGGAGGAAGAATTCAGCCATACAGAGCAGTGTGCAGTGAACAAGCCCCAACTCGATTCTATTACTACTGCAGGTGTAACCAACCAGATTATTTCAGTGTTGCTGTATTTCTTTCTCTTACTTTTTCCAACTCGTTAGAAAAGAAAAATGATGAAAATTATAAACCAACCTGCAGCTGGTACATAACAGCTTTTATGTGTCTCAGCACAAAAGACTGTAATTGAAAATCTTATCATCTTAATTTTATTTATTCCACAAACATATATAAAGTGTTGTTCACATGCTAATGATATTTGCCTTATTTCAGTGTTATATTACTACAGAATAGATTTAGTGCAATTTTGACTTAGCCATATCTTACTTCCTAATTGATGCTTGTGCAAGGTGTTCTATTGGTATGAGAAAAATACAAATGAACTGAATTCCAAAGCTTTATTTTTTATTGATAAAAGTGAGAAGCCCATGAAGACTAACATTTGCCTAACGTATTTCTGTGCTGTTCACCCATCAGCAAACAAGCAAAGCCCACAAAACAGTTTATGCCAATTTCAAATACAAGTGTATTTAATGATGAATAATGATGACTGACTGATAAGAGGAATATGAAGCAAAAATAAATATTAAAAAATAGTTTATTAAATGGACTGCCCTCTATTGAAGCATTATTTTCTGATTCTGCTTAGATGCTCTTATTTTGCTAGATCCTTCAACGTAATTATTTATTCCCATGTTTCTACCTAATTTGTGCTGCTCTGCAGTCATTACAAGCCAGAGCCTGAGAGCTGCTTCACTTATCCACATCCTAAGTGATGAGCTTTACTTAACATAAGCTTTAGCAAAACAGAACACCTACTTTTAATTGGCTTATGACACAGATAATTAAATTATGGTTCCACCCTGTTTTCCTTACCTGCTTATTCAAATTCATGCAACTAATCAAAACAAATAATAAATGTTTACATATTTATTACTAGTTGAACTAGCAGATGCTGTATAGTGTATAGTGTACATATATATACACATATAAACACATACACATATATATATAGTGTGTAGATACTATAATAGAGTAAATCAGCCTAAGGAAACCTAGTCCTTTAATAAAAATCAACCACACAGCTTTAAAAGATGTCCTCTTTTTTGCTGTCTTAAACTTGTACCTAAAAAAAAAAATCCTCAATGTGGCTTCCTGTTTTGAGATTCTGCATGTTAGAACTTGATTTTGCTCTAAGGATCTGTTTTTATGTTGTAACTTTGGTAATGAAACTGTCATAGAAAAAGAAAATCTGGAAAGGTTAACTAATCACTGTAAAGACAGATAATACAAGCTATCGTACATTTTACTACAAATGTTTAGTGAGTATCACATAGAAGTTATAGCTTTAAAAAGCCTGTAGGCTTAAAAGATGATGAGAACCTCCTGGAACAGCCTTCACTGTCTTGTACTAAACAACTGAAAAATCAAAGGACTTCAAAACTAGGCACTGGAACTACATAAGAGATGGTCTCACTTTGGGCTCACAATAAAGAGTAGGTGTGTGTGCCAAGGGATTTTCTGAACACAGTTTGAGGGGGAAGACTACTTCCCTCCCACTCTCCACTGTCACAACTGGGCAAGATCTGGAAAATCCAGTTAGTGAAGCAAAGAACTGGGGATGAATGATGCTGAGTCAGAGGTTCCTCTGAGATACTCCATCTAGGCTACCTTAGCCAGCCTTCATTATCCAGACAAATATGTTGCTTAATATTAAGTGCAATCTGCTTGATACTGAATAATATCGCACGTGCATACACCTCTAAAAGACCTTATCTTTCTTTAGGAACTTTCTACCAAAATAATTAAAACAATCATTGGAAAAGGTTCTTTTAAAAATATGTTTTCAGAATTGCTACACAGCTGTAGCTGGGATAGCCTAATACAGTCAGCCAGTTTGTGAGTGAATATATATTTTTTTATGTTTATCATAGGCTAAATATGATCTATTATAGACTATTATAGATATATATTGGGACTTACACATAATATCCATCAGTTATAGAGACTGGCATGGAAATAATAGCTTAAGGTAGAGCCAGGTATTATTTATTTTAATCTGGTTAAACTACATCCTCCTATGGATCATAAGTACGATGTTGGTAAAATGTTATTCAGTCATGCACTAAATAGAAGATATACCTTCAAGACAATGTTTTCCTCTTTTGTTAATGACAGATGTTTTGTATGATACATACAGTAGACTTTTTACTAAAATTATGAAGCAGTTTCTCTGTTGCTAACAGGGAACTGTTTGATGTATGCAGGCAATGCAAATCCTTCAAATAGTTCTAGAATAGTATCTAGAAACAACGATGTTGGTTTTCTGTTTTGTCAGTTATTGACAACAAATTTGAAAATGCAGAAGCTCACAGGGTGGCTGCTGCAAAAGCAACTAAGTATACCATCATATCATTTAGAGTTATTCATATGAATCATTTGATTGTGATTTCTAAGAGCACTGATGTCTAAAATCTTACCTCTTAGTAAAACAGAGCTTTGTTTATTGCTTTTTTTTTTTTTTTTTATTAAGTAAATCATTAAGAACAGTTAGGAAAAAATGTTTTCCTCTACTGCTATTGATATAATTTCTGACAGTTCTACTTTAGTAAAGCTTACAGAAAACAAAAAATCCACTGTCAGATGGATTACTTTCTAAACAACAACAACAAAAAATAGCTGGATTTTTGGAAAAATAAAAAGCACACTGCATTCAATTGGTCTGCACTTTGACAGAGAATTATTACAGTGTCAATGTGAATTCTTTGAGACATCATTCTGTCTGCAAATTAATGGCAAATGAAAATGAATGTTCACTTCCATCTAATTATTAGAATCATTCGAATTAGAATTATTAGAATTGTTCAGATGGAAGAGACCTACAAAGATCATTGAGTCCAATTACCCAACCACTTCAGGGCTAACCAAAAGGTAAAGCGTACTAATGAGGGCATTATCCAAATGCTTCTTGAACACGGAGAGGAATGAGACATCAACCACTTCTCTAGGAAGTCTGTTCTGGTGTTTGTTTGCCATCACAGTGAATAAATTTTTTGCTAATGTTCAGTCTGAACCTCTCTGGCATGGCTTTGTGCCATTCTTGCATATCCTGTCCTCTGTTACCAGAGAGCAGAAGCCAGCACCTCTCTCTGCTTCTGCTCCTCAGGAAGCTGCAGAGAGCAGTTATGGAGGTTGCCTCTCAGCCTCCTTTCCTCCAGACCAGACAACTCAGCCTCCCTCAGCCTCCCTCCACAGGACATGTGTCCTCAGCCTCCCTCCACAGGACATGTCTTCCAGACCTTTTACCAGCTTTGTTGCTCTCCTCTGGACACTTTCAAGGCCCTTAACATCCTTTTCATACTGCAGAGCCAAGAACAGCATGTGATATTCAAGGTGAGGCCACACCAATGGTAAATATATCAGGAGAATCACCTCTTGTGACCTTTGGCTGGCCATGCTGTGCTTAATACACCCCAAAATGCAGTTTGCCCTCTTGGCTGACAGGGAATGCTGCTGGCTCATGTTGAGCCTGCTGCAAACCAGCACCCCCAAGCCCCTTTCTGCTGAGCTGCTCTCCAACCACACAATCTCCCAGTCTGTACCTGTGTCCAGCACTGCTTCATCCCTGGAGCAGGACCTGGCATTTTCCTTTGCTGAACTTCTTGCCATTAATGATTGCCCAGTGCTCCAATCAACCTACATCCCTCTGCAAGGCCTCTTGTCCCTCAAGAGAGTCCACTTCCTGCAAAGCAAGACAGACTCCGACTCATAAATTCATCCTGTTACAGATGTAAAAATACATTTCAAAATTTCAAGATAATGGGAGCTGCATAGTTTGTTACTTTTGGATACCTAGAAATGTTGTGCAGGCCTCTTTATAGCTGAAAGGAACTTTAAATGCTTTGATTTTATTTAAGTATTTAAATGTATTAAAACTGGGAAAAAATTTAAATAGCAATTTGTATATATAGGACTTTTATATATAGGAAGAAGAAGAAAAAAAAAAAAAAAGGTGGTGTTTTCCCATAATGACTTTTTAAATAAAATCTTTTCTTCAGTTTTTCTTATAGCTCCTTGTTTTTTTTTTCCATCTGTCTGGAAGACTCTGAGACCTCTGCAAGATCCTCATGGCTCAAACAGCAATTTCTAACCATGCAGAAATTGATTTTCAGTGTTCTGTGAATTAATTAAGTATCAGTCAATGCCACTTTATTACTGCTGTATTCTAACTTTGCAAAGTTAATTATAGATCAGGAATCTGATTTTAAAATGCCTTTTTTTTTTTTTCCTTGTTAATAACAGTGTCCACTAGCTCAATAGATCATAGGGATAGAGATGCGGAAAAAATATTTTACCACAAAGGACAAGTTTATTGCTGCTTTCAGCCCATATAAACCAGACAATTTTCTGCCATCATTATCATCTCTTGACTTTGCCACAGATTTTGCCATGTGCATAGGCCTTTAAGAGCTGCTTCAGTACCACTTTTCATTTGATACCGCAACAAAAAGACTGCACATTATACTTCAATCTTCAAGAAAATTACACAAATATAACATCATATGCTTTCCTGTAATTGTGTAGGGATCGATCTCCAGGCTTCCACTTTTCAACACTTTCAACTTTGACTCTTGCCAATTATATAAAGAGCTTAAAATGTCACTATAAGCACAGCACTACCCTGAGTTTTGGGTTTATACATGAAGAGCTTTGTTTTGTTGCTGACATTACTTAGGGAATCCACTAATTTATTACTCTTTCTTTGAATACCAAAAGAGTCAGACTATCACATCTATCCATTACTTTCTGCATTACAAAAAGGGAAACCTTCTTGGGCGCATGAGTTCTGGAATGGATGGGTTTTGCCAGCTATACTTTGTACGAACAGCATCTTCACAGTCAGTCAACTATATTTGTTTTGTTTTGTTTTGTTTTTTAGCTTTCAAAAATATAATCAAATAATAACCACAATTTGAGATTCTAGCTAAATGTTTGTTACTTCCTATTACAGACAGTGCACATATATGGACTATTAATGTAATTATAATTATGAATGTAAGTATTTTAAGGTCTTAGTCAGACAAGAAGGTGAAAGGATATGCCTAACTCACCACAGAGACATCTTATGATAGAAAAACTGCTAAAGTTGTTGCTTGTTAGAAAATTTAATTTAGTACAATAACAAAGTATGCAGTATTTTACTATTTTTTTAATTGTGCTAGCATTTACTACTTTCTATAAGAACTTAATAAATTTTCTAAGGTGGTAATTGTTATTAAGCAGCAGCTAGCCTCTCTCTATTTTATCTTTATTTAGCCTTCTAAAGAGTGTGTCTTGTTAATGAGACCAAATTAGGTTGTCATATTTTCATTGTAAAAGTTGGGATTCTCTACTTGTCCCCCACCACAAATCTCTTTCATCACAATTTTTCCTTCCATTTTGGATATTACATTTATCTATATATTTCATTTATATGCTCCAATAATTGTTGTAACTTCAACACATTAAGCTAAAACTGATGATTTTATCATCTTTTACTACACACATTATATCCTTCTGAGGTAAATGGGCTTTTTCTAGCAACACGGACCTATTAATTAAACATTATTTATTTTTAAGTTAGTTTTCTAATTGTCTTTTGCTGCACTGGTGCTCTCCCTCTGAAGATCTCTTTTGAAGTGGAAGATGCTTCTTTGTCTATGGTATATACATTCTGCTGACTCTTGCAGTTGATGCAATACTTTTTAGTTATGCTGTCAATTTACAGACATAAAGATTTTATGATATTATGCTACTTGGTGTGGTTTGTACAACGTGACTTTCATAGGTTCCTTGTTTCCCCTTTTGTTTTGAATTCCCTCTTCTTTATTTTTTTATATTCTCTCATGTTTATGCTAGCCAAGAACTTAACTTTCCTCAGTAAGTTTTCCTGTGGGCTGACAAATTTTCTTTGCTTGGCAAATTTTAATTACTTCAACAGAAGCTATTTCTTTGTATTTGGAATCTGGGACAAGTCACAATCTTTTATAACTCTGATCTTTTATAAATCCCCCAGCATTCTTGCATCATTAGGTCAGTTCTATCTTCTTTTTCTATCTTGCTTTTTTACAGACTTAAAAAAAAGCTTCACTTTTTTATATAGTGCTAGCTTTTAAAATTTGCTTTAAAAAAAAAAAAAAAAAGAAAGCTTCATATAAGCTCTTTTGTCATATTCATTTTATATATGGCATTCCTACAGGAGTCAACAACTCCTGCTGAAGGTGGAAAAATGTCCCAAAAATGGCTACTATACCTCCTAAATCTTCTCTGTTACTCTCTTTTATGCTGTATGTTAGACATACTGTTAGTGCAAACTACTAATTTAGCTTTTCTTACTCTACTAGATCTCCTAAGGGGGAAAAAAAAAATCTTTAGCCAAAATACAGACTGATAGTGTGTGTTGCTACCAGACAACAGGATGTGTTTTCCAAGATTATTTTGCTTCTTTTCATTCAGTTTATATACAAAGGCTAGCAATAAAACAGAGATTCTGATGCAAGTAAAATCTTCAGAATGGTAAAGCACTGGACCTACAGCATTCAAGACAAAGACAATGCATGCACTGTAAAAATATTCATGCAAAGTGTTCAGACAATACGTATATTGTGAATCAAACAAGGGAGGAAAGAAATAGAGCTGCCCAGTCCATTTTAAGAGGAAAAAAACATGCTATTGTTTTTCCATGGCATTGTTAGAGACAAAGAATGCTGAATAAGTGATAAACTTAGCTTTTGTGTGATTAAGTGCACCAGCTGTATTTCCAAATTTTATCAGTCAGCTGGATGATTTTCAGCAGCCTTTCTGATTAAATGTTTGCCTTAATTCTTCCATGATGGTCTTTCATACGATGTAGATTTGAATAGCCACATACAGCAGCTACCTATCCTAGAACAAGTGAGAGGTTTTTAGCATCTTGCTGCTTCAAATCAACATAATTTGAGATACTAGGAGTCATTGAAGTCACTTATGTGACATGGCACACCATAAATTAATGCAAAACAGACTAAAATACAAGTGTTCTGAGTGTCTTTGTTATTTGCTACATGTATCATTAAAATAGGCTAGGACTTTCCTATGAAGTCAGGTGAAACAGCCCTTCCCAAACGGTTATTTCTCTGAATGGTAAATAAAGAGAGAAATGTAAGAAGACAGACCTGGATATGCATGATAAATAGCACAGTCAGGGAGTGATCCCTCCACAAATGTAGATTACAATTTATTCACAAAAACAGGTACACAAATATTGCATAATACAAATTCTATCAGGACTTTTTTTTTTTTTTTTTTTTTTCTAACTTGCTCAGTTTTAGTTTTCTCAGTTGAAAGTATTCTCTGTCAGAGGAGAGAGCTTGCAGGTTTGTCTTTTGGATGAATATGTCTTCTTCAAGGGGAAGAATGTCATATTTAATTAGTTTAAGGCATTTTGGTTCCAAGGCTCTTTTTTCATACACAGGATCAATAGAGAAATTCTTCCACCATAACCCTCTTATATAAATGTTTCCTTCCCCGAGGCTGTATTCAATTTAGAACTGGAATAGTGAAGAGTCAATAAAGACTTGACAGAGACAAGCAGACATAGATAAACTTTTGGCCTAATGTTATTTTTGGTGGATCTTTGAGGAAACTTCAGCAAAGCTTTAAATTCACACCTAATCATCATATCTTCATATGTTGGTGGGCTGGAGAAAACTGGAGAAAAAAAGAAGAAGAAAAAAAAAGAAAAACAAACAAAACAAACAAAAATAAAATAAACAAATAAGAAACAGAAACGGAAACAACTTGAATCCCAATTACCTTTTATAAAAATCAGGACTGATTCTGGCTTGACTCCACTTCCTGTGACAGCCTAAATATCTATGCTAATGTTGAAGATGTGCATTTTTTTGGTGAATAATCTTTGAATTATGGAAGAAGCTTTATTAGGAAAAACAACCATATGGAAGGGCAACCTTCCTTCTGATTTGCTGTGCTTTGAGACAACACAATCATACCATATTGTATTACAAGTTCATTACACTGAATAAAATCAAACAATTTTTTCTTGGTATTTGCTAACTAGAATTAAAACTCTTCATACATAATGTAAGTAAAATGAAAGAATTTATTATATATTCAGGTTTGAGTGCATTTTCCTTAAAATATAGTTGAAATAAATCTATACTGCTACTTAGTCATATACTACTTAATCATATACTACAACTTGTTCAAAGCAAGAGTCTCCCTAATTGATACATGATCTGTGTTGAAAGAAGTGGTTATAGGAACCAGAAATTTAGGTTTTCAGTAGAAGATAATACTGTTTATAATTCTACCTTCTTTTTGTAAATTCTGTTTGAAATTTCAGATGAGTGGTGCAATACATTATAAACTTACTCTATAAAAACCACCTCCCAAAGCTATCACCTCTCTCTCAGAATGTTGTTTGAACAGCTTTACATGTCATAAGGAACAAGCATTCAATAATATTTTTTTTTAATAAATGCTCTCCATCTGGAAATTAAGACCAGCTCCACAATATCGACTTTCATTGCTGCAAAAACAGCAGCTGTTAAAAAAACTCAAATTTAAACAGTAATGCAAATAGAATTTAGGGTGAAAGTTAAAAAAAAAAAGTCATCTGATAAGAATTTGAGTGTTAAAAAAAAAACACTACACACTTAATGGAAAATAGAATGGTTAAAGCACTCAAGATTGTCAGTTCAG